GGTGCCTCGCATAGTTAGGGAATGTATCGAAATCATAGTTAGTTATCAAATCATTAAAAGCATTCCAATGGAAATAACGTGTTCTTGCCTCTCTGCCAAGCAGCACGAGAACAGCGAATGACATAATGACGAAATAAAGATAAAGGAACCGTATCAATGATTGAATAAAAATGAATGAATGAACAAATTAAAGAATGCATTTATTAATTAATATTATAAGCACACAAAAATAAAATATGACAAGTAAAATAATAAAACTATAAAGCAATAAAGTTACGCGTGCAATACGTGGCATCAATAGATAATAATGCACTCTTTGCATGCTTCAATTCGATTTTACGATAACGGAATCTCTGATGCACAATCTGCCTACAACATGAAATTACGCGACGTTACAAAACGTACTCACCTAGAGAATGTTCCATGATATTCGCCCCCCCCCCTGCTAAAACAACAGCAAAGTAAAAGCACAACCGACATTTCTCTGCAGGTAGTGTGTAAACGTGTTTGCGTTAGTCGAGCCCTTGTGCTTCGATCTGTTGCTGGAGTTATCTGCATGTATATGCGTTTAGGTTCTCTATCCTGCGCGGGTGCGTAGCTGGTGACGTATCAGAAGTGTTGATCGATGGGAAAGAATTGACTGGCGCTCTAATAAACACCGCTGAGGAATTATTGTTTCGCTCGAGGTGGATTGCGTTGTTACAACTCATAATGCAGACCTGACTTAATAACTCAACTAAAGCTGTTGCTTAGTAATGTCGTGTGTAGTTTCCAGGTTACAATGACGAGAGACGGTGCATTTTCATTCGCATCCTTTATTGTCTAACTGCGTAATAAAAAAATTGTGCCTATATAACCATTCCGTGCTGGTAAATTATGCAATTACTATGGATGTTATCATTCTCAATTAGTTGGTAAAAAGATCAGGCATATAACACATCGTGAAACAAATCTGCCATGCGTGGGTTTTACGTGTGTGCGTGGTCTGCATTACGTGCGAGGTGGCGCGTACGGTTTCCGCAGAATGTGCGTCGCGTGCGCCGTGCGTCCGTATTCGGTACGTGTGGTGGCGCGTGTGAGTGGATGTTCAGAGTTCGTACGTCACTTTCGGTGGGTGTAGTTAAATAAAGATGTGATAATGAAACATTCGTGACTTGTATTTCGGTGTGAGGTCGACTGTGAATTGTAGAAACATGTTTTAGACGGCAAGATTGTTTAGGGAAGCACGCAGGGATCTTGCTGATATACTTAACTTTCGTGATGTAATTTGCCACTGTGATGATGTAATGAGTAAAGCAAAATATTAAAATCTCTTGCATTTATTCGTTTACCACACTGACTTCTTATCGGTTATTGCTGTAACGATCATTGTATTGATGCAACTTTATAAATTGAGAGATCACTGCCATAATTCGATTCATGCTTTCTCCAATGCAGATGGCACCAGTTAACGTCATATATGGCGTAACAAGAAAGCCATTAATAAGATTCACAGACTGTCCCCTCGTAATTTGTACGCGATCGATTAATGGTTGCCAAGTACAGTGCTGTTTGATGGCGTTATTAGGAGTCACGTAATAATTAAGCCCTGGCCTCCACGATAGAACGTCAGCACTGCCGGGTTCAAGTCACAAGCTTACGAGATTTTGATGAATAATTATATATGTAAAATGTTCACACGGCATTCTGATACTAGAGGCGAATCGGCCTAGTATTAGTAAGACAACTATGACTATTAGCAAGATAATATGATAAAATATACTCGTATAATAATATCTGATAAACAATGTTCCACACAGGTAAATAACCAATACCATTATCCTATCGCATAATTAATAAACAGATATGTAAAATTATCACCTCAATTATAAACATGAATAAAAAAGGAGGATGCATTATAGTAACACTGTAAAATTGCTTTAGTAATAAATCTTTGTGATATTTTAATTGTCACACAGTTTACATATGAAAGCCCACTTCATATGCGTGATTAATTGAAATTTAATGATTAGAACTTAGCATGCCGGCTTTTTTTTTTCCAAAAAAGGGGGTTTTTTTCCCAAACCAACAAAGATTTCTGAATAACTAACCAGGGGGGGGGGGGGGGGGGGGGGGAACCCTTTTTCTAGTTCATGGCTGCATAGTATTTTCCTCCTGCTGGGAATCGTGTTGCCCTCGCCGGAAGATGAAGCAGCGCAAGTGTTTTTTAACGCTTGCTGGATTTCCACAACGACTCAAAGCCAACGATGGCCGACTCAAGGCAGTGAACGCCGCACAGTAACACCGAGCGCGACCACCTACTGTCGGGCTTGCCTGCGTACATTTACGTCGTTATTGTTTCCTGCCGCGAACACAGCTGTCGTGGAATGCAATTCGCTGAAGTCTGTCATCTATTGAGAAAAAAAAAAATAATCATTTGATGAGTTTAAGTCTATCCTTACACAAGCTCTGACGAGTCCTTTGTCAGGTCTAGATTAAGGGACCTGATATAACGTGGCAATGACATTTTCTCAATCAATAATTAGATGAATGAAGCCTTCTAAGAGAAAAGCCCTCTAAAGCAATTACCCGGACAATCCCGCCCCCAGCCCCGCGTACAATCCCGCCCCAGCCGCGGACAATCCCGCCTCAGCCACGGTACAATCCTCGCCCCAGCACGGACAATCCCGCCCTAGCGCAGCGGACGAATCCCCGCCCCCAGCCACGGACCCAATCCCGCCGCTCAGCACGGCAAATCCCGCCCTAGCCCGCGACAATCCGCCCCCAGCACGGACATCCCGCCCAGCCACGGACAATCCCGCCCCAAGCACGGACCATCTCGCCCCCAGCCAGCGGACAAATCCCGCCCAGCCACGTAACAATCCCGCCCAGCCACGGACAATCCTGCCACAAGCTCGCAGACAATCCCGCACCAAGCGCGGGACAAAATCCCGCCCCCCATCCGGAGTACAATCCCCCCCTCCTAAGCCGCGGACAATCCCCCCCCAGCGCCGGACAATCCCGCCTCAGCACGGACAATCCAGTACACAGCGCCGGACAATCCCCCTCGCCCCAGCGCGGACAATCCCAGCCCCAGCCACGGACGAATCCCGCCCAAAGCGCCGGACAATTCCGCCCCAGCCGGACATATGCGCCCCCAGCAATAAATTAATCTCTATGAGATAAGTTTAATGAAAATAATGATGGAAAATATTTCCTATAAAATCTAAAATTCAACTTTGTTCCAGTCAATGTTTTGAAAATTGAATAAAGTCAAATGGCCGTTTGAAAATTAGGCAACACGCATCTCAACCCATAAATTAAAGATAATATTTTAAAACTGTTAGATATGAAGAAATATAAACTACACGGAATATTGATTTCTGAATTAAATGAGGACATTGTGACCGTAGACTTATGGTTTAGCGGTGATTGTTCGGGGTGCATCTTCGAGGTGGTAGTTTTAGACGGCAGGGGAATATTCACGGGGTCTACCTCAGTACCAAAATTGAGGACACAGTTAAAGGAATTAGTTAAACGTTTTATATGAGTGGCTTATCTGTTATACTATTAATATATATACTATAATCTTACAGTAACAACAGTTCATCAGTAAGTAAAACGAGAAAGATAGATAACGATAACATGTACAAATTATATGATAATAATGACAGATGATGCAATAATATACATAATGAATAATCGATTTATTAATAATCATCATCATCATCATCATCATCATCCTCACTCAACTAAAGGCAAAATACAGAGGGAGTTAGCCGCGTGTAAGAGAGACCGATCTACATTAAGCTAGGATGTAATGATTCCCATGTGTGGTTTAAACTCGCGCAATCGCTTGCGCCGTGCAACACGCCACTGAACACAGAAACTCACACATTTGCGCATTTCTACTTACATTCGTTGATTCTGTAAACCGAGTTCACACCGTAAGCTCCGCACATGACGCTGCCGTCACCTTGGCACGCCACGTTACAGTCGGTCTCTGTCCGCTGTCCGCTCCTTCCGTATGCCATGCCGCATCTACAATTCTCTCCGTAAGCAAGACCCATGAATATGTAGCCACGGTCGATGCAGTCTTGGATGCAGTGAGCGGCGCAGACGGTCGGGGTCAGGGTACCGGGCATTCTAGTGAGTGTTTGAAGATCCGTAAGAGCTATATCGTTAAAGCATCCGATGTAATGAAGTCTCACGGCCTCTCCTAAAATGGAAGGAGAAAAGCGCGCCAATAAAAAATAAATAAATAAATAATAAAATGTGTAAACGTATGAATGAAAAGACGAATAATTGAGTGAGCGCATAACTGAGAAAAATCAATAAATAACAATATAAAAAATGAACGTATTAATGTGACAAAAATACTGGCATTAACACTAGTATAGAGTGACTCACCGTTTACACACATAATTGCGTGTATCAATTCAGATTTCACCTGAAGGCGGAGCTTCTATACTCAATCTGCCGACACACTAAAACACGCGACGCTACAAACGTACTCACCTAGATACATGTTCCATGCTATCGCTGCTAAAACAACAGCAAAGTAAATCACAACCGACTTGGTTCGCATTTTGCAGGTAGTTGTATAGAGCGTGTTTGCGTTATCCGTGCGCTTGTGCTGCGAGTCTGTGCTGGAGTTATATATATGTATGTGTAAGGTTGTTTATGCCCACGTGTCGTACCACGTGACATAACACAGAGTGTTGCTAGGGTAAAAAGAGTTACTAGCTCAAAAAAATTACATATGGCATCCGCGCTCATGAATTATGGGAAGCGACGCTGATGTTTGAATAGAGCCTAGCGCAAGCTAAGTAACTGTAGGTGGCATACAAAAGAACCCTTCCTCAAATTGTTCAAAGTTTCAATATCTCGTCTCTGGAAAAGGCATTCTTTTAAATATTTTACCAGTAAAATTTGGAACCAGCGTGCATTAATTTGCGTCATGCCCGCCAGTTGGCTGACTCGTGGAGAGCCAGAGTTATTCGTTCTCTAAAGTGCCCATTGCTCCACTCTGTTCGCTTGCAAATCCCGGTTGATTTTTAGTGAAACTCTAAGCTGTTGCTTAGTGATGTCGGGTTGTAGTTCCTTGTTATAAAGACAAGCGACTGTGTTTAAATAATTAAATCGCCTTTTATTATCTAACTGCGTACATTTATTGTGCCTCTATAGCATGCAGTAGCTGGTAAATTATGAAAACGTTGTGCGAAATTTATTCTCATAATTTATCAGATTATTATTATAAGTAATCGCGTAGTAGGCTTACTTACGTGCGTCTGCCTGCGTGCGTGCTTGCGTTTGTCTGCGTGCGTGCGTTTATGCACGTCGGCGTGTGGGTGCGTGCGATCGTTTGTGCACGCATGTGTACGTATGCGTTTATGCGTGAAATTGCGTGGGTGTTAGGTAAATAATGATAAAAGACTGTAAAACATTCGTGACCTGTTATCGGTGAGTGTCGACTGCGAATTGTAGAAACATGTTAGACGGCAAGATGTAAGGAAGCAGGCAGGGATCTTGTGATATACGTAACTTTCGTGATGTAATTTGCCACTAGTGATGTGTAATGAATAAATCGAAATATTAAAATCACTTGCATTTATTCGTTTTTCACACTGACTTCTGTTTATTGTCACGACATTGTATTGATACAACTTTGTAAATGAGAATCACTGGATAATACGATTCGTAACTTTCTCCAACTGCAGATGGCACCAGTTAACGTCATATATGCGTAACAACAAGCCATTAATTTAGATTAACAGACTGCCTCGTAATCATTAAGCATCGATCAATTGATAATCCAAGCTACCAGTGTTGTTTGCTTGCGTTATAAGCGTCACGTGAGAATAAGCCCTGCTCCACGATAGAACTCAGCATGCCGGATTCAAGTCGCAAGCTACGAAGATTTCATGAATAATTTGATAATGTAAAATATCACACGATTTACAGACATTATTAAAAGTGGACCTAACATCCGTAGGTAAACTAAGCAATTAACCGTAAATATTATGAAAATTCAAAATCTTCACACAGTTCACGAAGTTCTTATCCTACGCGATAATATATATATATATATATATATATATATATCAAGAGTACATAATTGTAGAGGAGTATGACACCGTTTTACAGCGTTTTGCATAGTTTCAACTTATATTATTATTATATACAACAATATTCTATCAATATGTGAATAAATATATTCAAACTTTACCTTGTTTTCGTCTATGATTCTCCTGGGGATTGTCCAAATTTACATGAAAGTCGTATGTGTTCTTCAAAAAAGTTCTTTGAATACGACACGGTTTCACACAGTTTTCCCAACCATTCGCATCTCTTTGACCAAACTTTGTTATCGGATTAGTGTTCTATTGTCTATGACGGAACGCTGGGGGCTGTTGGGGATTAGGTAAACACAGTAACAGCACTTTTTTCGCTTCCTTATCATCAGGAACACGATGGCAACACAGCTAAAATCAGCTGCTAGCTCGCCGTGAGCACACATTTATTTTAATGCCTAATAACGCTAGCAGTGTGGCTGGGGTCAGTCACTCACGCATGCAGTGTACCCAGCTAACACAAAAACGTTCACATAACGTTATTTTAAGGTTATATTTTGGTTTGGATAACGTTATACGTCCAAATGTAGGAACGTAGTTTGTATGTTATAATTTATAGTAGAAATAATCAAGAAGAAGTATAATTTTGTGTTCACTAAAGAAATATATTGTTTACAAACAAACAGTCAGAGTCGCGTCGTCCAGTCTTCCTCGTTCCAACCGTCGTGTTGTGCCGTAAGGCTAGCGGTCGCATATCAGGCTGCCTCAAGTCTTGCGCCTCGCTCTGCATGCGTCGGTCCTGCGAATTGCCCTTCCGCGCCTTAGAAAAAATATCTGCTTGCGCCTTAATAACTTCCCTCAACTCTCGAATCTCTGTTCGAGAGCTATCGGCCGCCCGTCGAACAGAATCGACTTCCATCGGCTCATCGAATTGTCCATACCGTTCTGAACCCTGGTCTGACTCCCGACGAGAAGACAAATCTGCCTCGATCCTAGCGTCGGCCATTGCAATCTCACACGCACCTTCGAGTGTCGTCGGTGCCCGTGCTATGAGCGATCGTTGTGTCGCTTTGTCCTGTAATGCATCTACATAGGATTCCACATGTCTCGCTTGCATCAACACAGCATCTAAGTGCATTTCTAGATAAGCTACTCCAGCAAGTTCGAGCAGACGATCAGCACATGCGCAGGGCGTCTCACGCGGTAACTGTCGGAACTGTTTCATTTCCTTCTGCGCCTGTGGCCGCTCGGCAGGTGACCGAAAACGTGCCTGCACCTTGCGTACAACTCGTTCCACGTTACCTCGGCATTCGCCGCAATCTGACGAGCGCAACGTTATAATTACGAAATTGTGTCGGGTTTTTATAAAGTTAAAAATAACGTTAAAAATAACGTTTTTCTAACGTACTAAAAACTTAAAAATAACGTTCTTGTGCGTGGTTCTGATAACGTTAAAAAAACCGACACAATTACGTTAATATAACGTTTGTATTTACGTTACTATTACGTTCTTTTTTTACTTAAATATAACGTTATTGAACGTGGTTCTGATAACGTTAAAAAACCCGACACAATTACGTTAATATAACGTTTGTATTTACGTTACTATTACGTTCTTTTTTACTTAAATATAACGTTATTGTTCGTGGTTCTAATAACGTTAAAAAAAACCGACACAATTACGTTAATATAACGTTTGTATTTACGTTACTATTACGTTCTTTTTTTACTTAAATATAACGTTATTGAACGTGGTTCTGATAACGTTAAAAAAAACCGACACAATTACGTTAATATAACGTTTGTATTTACGTTACTATTACGTTCTTTTTTTACTTAAATATAACGTTATTGAACGTGGTTCTGATAACGTTAAAAAACCCCGACACAATTACGTTAATATAACGTTATTATTACGTTCTAATACGTTCTTTTTTTACTTAAATATAACGTTATTGAACGTGGTTCTGATAACGTTAAAAAACCCCGACAC